TTGATTTTTGTTTTTTTTTTGTGTTTTTGTCCTTCAGAGCTTTGTTTGGGTTGTGGATGCTGGGAAAGAGCCCCCCCCCCCCCCCCACCACCACCCCCACCCCCGTCAGGTTTGTGTGTAAAAGTGAAACTCTCTTCACAGATGCTGAGCAGGATCGCTCTCCTTCTCCCCAGGGCCTGGAGGCCTCCTGCAGCTGAGCGCTGGAGCTGCAGTTCAGAGGTCACAATCAGGGAAAGTGTGTACTGTCTGTGTGCACATTCCTTTTTTCATGCTATACGTGCATGCACATATCTAAGCATCACTTTCATATTTGCACATGTGAAACCTTACAGGAGAGGATGTGGGCCTCGGCCTGCACGGTCTGAACTCCAGCACCAAACGGTGACAGTAAGTGGAAGCAAACGACACAAAGCAGAGCCGAGGTTTCCTGTGGACGTGCGCGCTCGTGGGTTGAAACGAGCTGCTCCACAATCAGGAGGGGGTGACGGGTTCCACCCCGTTTACAGCGGATAAAACACAAGTGTGACTCTGTCATCGGATCATTTTCAGACCTTTTTACTGAAGTGTGAACAGCGGAGAAATGACTTCCTAATGCAGTGTGGTTCCTCGACTCTGATCGATTCTCAACCGCAGCCAAAGCCTTCCCTTCATGTATTAAACCATGCAGTCAAAACAAAATGATAGATATGCTACACCATAAGGACTTTCTTCAAATTAATAATGAAAGTTCAGGGAAAAAAAGATTCAAAAGCACAAGGAAGGCAAAACCACGAACTCCCATGGAGGCGACTGAGGGGCCAATATTTGGACGATTGTTTTAGCTTTTAAGTGTTTATTTAGCTTTTCTTGTTGCTATTTCTGTTTTTGTTTGTGGATTTTTTTGTTTTGTTTTGTTTTAATCTATTTTCCTGTCTCATCATTAAGTCTGGTATAATTTAGTAATTATAATTACCTTTTGGTGATTAAATTAATCATGTTTTGTTTCCTCAGTTTCCCTGTTTGTTTGTTTTCCTCCTGCCACAAACACACCTGCTCATTCTGTCAATCAGCCCAGCTGTTTTCACTCACCCATCACTTCTCCTAGTATAATTAATGTTTCAAATAATTTGTTTGCTCCAAATCGACTTCTTCTGTTTTTTTTTTTTTCTTCTTCTTTTTTTGCCCACTTAATAAAAACAGTTAGTCTCTAACCAAACCCTCCAAATCTGTGAGGTAAAAAGTTTGAAGCGCTGTGGCGCAAAGCTGCGGGAACAAATGGATTTTATGCAGCAGATGTTTTAAACCGCATCATCCAAACGAACCAATTTAACCTTGAAATATAATCGACAAAAATCCAGTCAAAGTTTGTTTTTTTAACTTTAAATCAAATTAAAAGCACATCATGCAGTTTGCTTTCAGGAGGAGAGAAAAGCGAAGTTCTCCTCGTTTCTCCGGAGCCTCCTGCTTTTTAGAGGAGCGCAGCGCGACCCTCCGCCCACCAAACCCCTCCCCTTCTACTCTTAAAACTATTTAGCATCTGAAGCTGGGATAAAGTTTCCCCTTTTTTTTTTCAACAGGGAAAGAAACAAACAAACAAAACAAAAAAAAAAACTTTCTGCGAGGGGAGACGCGTGCCAAGCGACAGCGCGAGCGCAGCTTCTCCACAGACAGCTCCGTCTCCTGCTCTGAAGGGATCTAACATCTGGAACCACGGCTTCTAAGGTGGACACCGTTTTATCCTCTCTATCCCTCCATTTCTTCAAGAAAGAAATGGAAGAGGGCTCCAGCTCCCCGGTCTCCCCTGTGGATAGTCTGGTGACGAGCGAGGAGGAGCTGGAGCGCCAGCACAAGCAGCGCTTCTCCAAGAAGAGGAGGCACAGCAGCAAGAAGTCCGGCGGGGAGGACAGCACCGGGAGCAGCCCGGCAGCCCTGAAGCGGCCCAAGAAACCCAGTCCGAGCGGCGCGCAGTCCTACGAGGAGCTGCAGAACCAGAGGGTCCTGGCCAACGTCCGGGAGCGGCAGCGGACTCAGTCCCTGAACGAGGCCTTCGCGTCTTTGCGCAAAATCATCCCCACGCTGCCCTCGGACAAACTCAGCAAGATCCAGACCCTGAAGCTGGCCTCCAGGTACATAGACTTCCTGTGTCAGGTGCTGCAGAGCGACGAGATGGACAACAAGATGTCCAGCTGCAGCTACGTGGCGCACGAGAGACTCAGCTACGCGTTCTCCGTGTGGAGGATGGAGGGCGCGTGGTCCATGTCTGCGTCTCACTAGCACCCAGAGAGCTTCACCTCCAATGCCAAAGTGGTGAGGAACTGTTGCTTTGCGGGGAAACCCCAAATATTAGTCTGACACTTTTCTTCAAAATGTTAGAAAATGTTTGGGTTGGTTTTGGTCAGGAGCTTTAAATTTATCTGAAAAATAAAACTTCATAAAAACTGAGGCCTCAGCATCTTCTGGGCTTCAGAACTGAATCCGAACCCTCCTCATCAGCCCATAATCCTCCCAGTTAAATGGTTCAGGGTTGAGATGGAGAAGAGTTGCGCAGCTGCTGCGCCATCACGGCTAATTTCATCCACAACAGCGCGCGTTTCCTGCGCGCGCACCGCAGGAATGAGCAGCTAGACCCAGAGCATGGATGAAAACAAACCCCTTTCAGCAAAGATTTGTCTCATTTCAGCTGCTGTTCAGTGGAATCCTGACAGGTGACGTCACTTTAAGAAATAACGGTTTAAAAAAAGATTTTAAGATAAATAAATGAGGCTTTATTCAGTCTGAGAGAAATGAGCTTCATTTTGCTCATTTGTTTAGTTGATCAGAAGGATTATTATTTTTATTTATAAGTTTTCGATTTTAATTGACCTCCAGGAAATGTATGAGTTTGTAAAAGTGCTTATTTAAAGTAAAATAATAATGATAATTTTCCGTGAAGTGTCATAACTAACCCAGCATTAATTTAGATAAATTGGTCAATTTCATTTTGAAAACAATTATATCTTTTTTATGCATTTAAAACATTCAAGTTTAATAATTTAGTTGAAGGTTTGTTCTCTCAGTAAATATTTTATAATCTGCCTAAAGCACAAAAAGTAAAACGGGTTAGTTTGTTTCAAATAAATTAGTTAATAATCAATATTTGATTCTCAGGCCTAGATGTTTTTATTTGTTAAAATGACAAGTAGGTAAAAATCGTTAACTTTGATTTAAATAGCAGCATTTGTTTACTTTAAAGTCTCTTGTTGTTGCTTCAAAACAACAAAATCTGACTGTTCAGTCTTAAAAGTTTTAGATTCAAGAGAAAAATCTGAAATTTATTTGATGTTGCATGAATGAGAAGAAATTTAAATCTAAAATGCACGATAACGATCTGGATAGATACATTTCAGTGGAAGCCTTTGGGCCTAATGTTGGCCTGATGAGTTTTATTTTCTTTGTTTGTTTGTTTGTTGTTGTTTTTTTTTTTTTGGGGGGGGGGGGGGGGTTAAAATAAAAATGTGTGCCTCAAACTGAAAGCTGAAATAAAAGCAGCTGTCAGAGGGAAACACTCCTGCTGCCATGTGGTTTTACTCAGCGCAGTGGTTAAAATAACCCATTCATTAATGACTTCCCACTCACTCAGGGAGCCAGAATATTATCATCTTCAAAACACTAATTCTGATTTAGTGTATTTCTACACACGTAGTAATAATTACTGTATTTTTATAAGTTTTTTATTTGACCTTTTATTTCAGACTGTTTGCTTCTAAAGACCAAAGGGATTATTGAAGAACCCGTCAACCTCAAAGGGCCACGAAGTAGAGGCGTGGTGTGTGTGTGTGTGTGTGTGTGTGTGTGTGTGTGTGTGTGTGTGTG